ATGGCAGTGGCCAAAGATGGGAAACAACCCGAGTGCCCATCAATAGGGGACCAGCTAAGGAATTTACAGTACAGCCAGAGAATGGAAGATGTACTGACATGGAAGTATTCCCAAGATAAGCTAAATCATAAAAGCAAGAACAAGGGGTGTATACCAGTAGAGTAAAAAAAATTTTAAGGCCAAGCATTGGAGCCAGCCCTGACCCACTAAGGAGCCACAGGGCCTTGGACAAGCTTGTCACTTCTCTGAACTCAGATGCCTTATCTATAAAATGGGAGGGTTTTTTTTTTTTTAATTTGGCCATGCTGCGGGTTTTTAAATATGGCTGTGGCTTGCGGGATCTTAGTTCCCTGACCAGGGATCGAACCAGGGCCTCGGAAGTGAAAGCACCAAGTCCTAACCACTGGATCGCCAGGGAATTCCCAAATGGGAGTATTATAAGGCCTTTACAAGCATCTTCTCAGGCAAAGATGGTTCCCCTCTTGGAGCCCGTTTCTCCAGCTATAAAACAAGGATGACTGAGCTAACATTGGACTGCTCTTCGTTCTACAGATATGAATTAAGCAGGTACTGTGTGCCGGGCCCTGCACAGGGTGTTCGGAACGCAGCAGTGAACAAGACAGACCTGGTCTAGTGAGGGAGGTGGACACCAACCAAGTAGTGGCAAACACAAAGTAAAGAAGCCAAGTCCACTTTGAGCAACAAGTAGGGGAGCCTTGCCTCCCTTCATACCAAGAATTATTACAAAGCTGTAGTAATAGGACAGTGGTGCTGGCTTGGGAATAGGCTAGTGGGAGGGCACTGAGAGCTCAGGAACAGACCTGCGCTTATGAGGTGCTAATTAGGAGGTGGTCCCCACCTGTAGATCAGAGGTTGGCAAGCTTTTCCTGTAAAGGGCCAGACAGTAGATCTGTTTAGATTTTGCAGGCCATACTGCGTCTGCCACAACTACCCGGCGCTGCTGCTGTAACGCAAAGGCAGACACATGCATTGTGATATGTGGACGAGCGTGGCCATGTTCCAATAAAACTTTATTTACAAAAACAGTAGGTGAGGGCTTCCCTGGTGGCGCAGTGGTTGAGAGTCCGCCTGCCGATGCAGGGGGCACGGGTTCGTGCCCCGGTCCGGGAAGATCCCACATGCTGCATGCTGCGGAGCGGCTGGGCCCGTAAGCCATAGCCGCTGAGCCTGCGCGTCCGGAGCCTGTGCTCCACAACCGGAGAGGCCACAACAGTGAGAGGCCCGCGTAACGCAAAAAAACAACAACAAAACAGTAGGTGGGCTGGATTCTGCCTATGGAGTGTAGTTCGCCAGCCCCTGCTGTAGATGAGTGGGGAAAGGATAGCTAATCTGTGAATGAGCTGAGCGATAGGGAAGAAAATTAAATGAGACCCTGTGGTAGGCAGAATAATGGTCCCCCAAAGATGTCCACATCCTAATCCCCAGAACCTGTGTGTTGGCTTCCACACAGCAGAAGGGACTTGGCTTATGTGATGAAGGATCAGCTCTTAAAATGGGAGATTATCCTGATTATTCCAGTGGGCCCAGTGCAATCACAAGGGTCCTTACATGGGAAAGAGGGAAGCAGAGGAGTCAGAGGAGATGTGCCAATGGAAGCAGAGACTGGAGTGATGTGGGACCACGGGTCAAGGAATGCAGTCAGCTTCTAGAGGGTAAAAAAGGCAAGGAAATGGGTTCTCCCCTAGAGCTTCCAGAAGGAACACAGCAAAATAAAAGTTTAAATCAGTAGATAAATAAAATGAAAAATAACATTAAAATAATTTAAAAAGACAGAAGGACAACAGCCTGGCCAGCACCATGATTTCAGCCCACTCAGACTGATTTTGGACTACCGACCTCCAGGACTATAAAATAAATTTGTGTTGTTTAAAGCCTATGATTTTGGTAATGTGTTACAGCAACATAGAAACGAATGAGGCTCTCCACCTCACAGCATACACAAAAATTAGTTTCTAGTGATTTAAGATCTAAGTCTGAAACACAAAACTCTACAGCATTTAGATGGAAATAAAGGAGAATCCCTTAGTAACCTCAGAGGCAGAGAAAGTATCTTTAAGACACAAAAAGTACAGATCATAGAGGAAAAGACTGGTAAATTTGATCATAAGCAAACCAAGATACAACGATGATAGAGAGACAGTGTTATGAGGGTAGACCTGGCAAATACGGTTAGATATAGAGGGTGAGGAAAGGCCTTCCTGAGGAGCTGTTGTTCAGAGCTCAGATCTGAAAGCTGTGGAGGATGGAATGAGAGATGGTTTGTGGAACTCCAGCATGAGGCTGGAACCAAGCAGACAAATGGAAATCAGGGGGCCTCAGGACTGCAGGCTGCTCAGCAAGGCCCTTGGGGGAGAGGGAGGGGCAGCAGAGGGGCAGGCTCCCTCCCCCAAAGCCAGCAGTATGGCTTGTGTCCATATTTACTGTGGAGCTGCCCCAGAAGATTTCCTCCAAAGCGACCCCACCGCCATCAACGTTTCAAGGACACAAACTCATCTGGGGGGTGTCCATCTGGTCCAACCTTACTTTGTCCAGATGGGAAAGCTGGGTGCAGGAGGGATGGGATTTGCCCGCAACCAAGCAAGGGACAGTGCTGAGTCAGGGTGGATCCTGGGTTTTCCTGGTACCCTGCCCGACACCCTGCTACTCCTTGCACTTGTCCTGCCTGAAGACCTCTGCACTTGCTTTTCCTCTGCCTGGAATGGTTCCCCCAGAACCTCCCTTACTTCTCCCAAGTCCCTGCAGACAGGTGAGTCCTCTGAGACACCTTCCCTGATGACCCGATCACTCTCATCCCTGTATAACACTGCCTGGCTTTTTCTGCTCACACAGCATTTATCGCCACCCCACACTGCGGGACACTTGCCGTCTCTCTCCCCCAGCAGAATGTCAGCCCCGTAAGAGCGGGGGACTCGTGTCTGTTTTTTCACTCTGCAGCCCCACTGTCTCACACGTGGTGGGTGTGGTTGGCAGAATAATGGCCTCCCAAAGATGCCCACATCTTAATCCCTGGAACCTACAGATACGTTATGTGGCAAAGGTTGAATTAAGGCAGCATAAGGAATGAAGGTTGCTAAGTGGCTGGCTTTAAAACAGGAAGATTATCCCAGGTTATCCGGCTGGGCTCAGTGTAATCACAGGAAGAGTCAGTGTCAGAGTGACACAGCGTGAGACAGACTCAACTGGCCGTTGCTGGCTTTGAAGATGGAAGGGGCGTGGGTCGTGGGCAGCTGCTAGAAGCTGGAAAAGACAAGAACGCGGATTCTCTCCCGGAGCCTCCAAAAGGAATGCATCCCTGCCTACACCTTTTTTAAAATAATTAATTAATTAATTTGTTTTTAGCTGCGTTGGGTCTTCGTTGCCGCGTGCGGGCTTTCTCTAGTTGTGGAGAGTGGAGGCTACTCTTTGTCGTGGTGTGCGGGCTTCTCACTGCAGTGGCTTCTCTTGTTGTGGAGCACTGGCTCTAGGCACACGGGCTTCAGCAGTTGTGACTCGCAGGTTCTAGAGCGCAGGCTCAGTAGTTGTGGCTCGCGGGCTCTAGAGCGCAGGTTCAGTAGTTGTGGCGCACGGGCTTAGTTGCTCCGCGGCATGTGGGATCTTCCTGGACCAGGGATTGAACCCGTGTCCCCTGCAGTGGCAGGCAGATTCTTAACCACTGTGCCACCAGGTAAGTCCCCCTGCCTACACCTTGATGTTTAGCCCAGTGAGACCCATTTTGGACTTCAGACCTCCAGACCTAGAAGGTTATACCTTTCTTTTGTTTTAAGACACTAAGTTTGTGGTCATTTGCTACCTAGCTCTGACCCTGCCCTTTGCCCTTCGACCCCTTCCTGACCTCCCCCGGATGAAGTCCAAGCTTCTCAGCCTGCCGTTCACAGTGCTTCTGGACAGCCCTGTCCCGCTTTCTACAGCGAGGGAAAGGTTCTCCATTGGTGCTGTCCAGCCCAGGAGCCAGTGAGCACTTGAACTGTGGCCAGTGTAACTGAGGAATTGAATTTTTCCTTTTGTTTCACTGTCCTTAAGTTTATTTCATTCATTTATTCATTCATTTATTTATTATTTATGGCCGCGCCGCGAGGCATGTGGGATCTTAGTTTCCCAACCAGGGATCAAACCCGGGCCCCCTGCAGTGGAAGCGCAGAGTCCTAACCACTGGACCACCAGGGAATTCCCTGTCGTTAAGGTTAAATAGCCACCTGTGTCCAGTGGCTACTGCACTGGACGGCACAGCTGCCAGGACTGTGCCCACCTTTCCAGCTTGGTCTGCCCCTAAAGCCTCGTCACCAGAGGGGCCGTGCTCCTTCAACTGCCCCCCGGGCACCAGGCATGGCCCACACCATGGCCCCATCCCACCTTCTACCCTGATCCTCTAACGCCTAGTTCAGTTCCCACCTTAAATGTGGTGGATCCTTGAAGGGGGTTCAGGATTTGGGGGGGGTGATTAAAATGCCCCTTCCCCCAATTCTACCTCCCAAATGAGGTGATATCAAACCAGGCTGGTGACAGTTTCACAGCTACCTCTGAGAGCCCTGGAGAAAGGGAGATGTCCCTGGCCCAGAGAGCTGAGACTTAGAGAGAGAGAGGCCTATCCCATGAATATGCCAGTCCCCAGTCCAGGACCCCCAGACGGACAACCGAGACACAGGAATGGGCTCCAGGAGGGTCAGAACCAGCTGAGGGTGGTGCTGTCAGATGCCTAATTCCCTGCCACCTGCCACCAAAGGGGGGAGGGGCCCCGAAGGAGTGACAAAGAGCTCCTTCCCTACCAGACCCCAGATAGAGAGCCCTCCGTTCTTTCCAGGACCCCAGCGCAGGAGTCATTAGGCAGCCCAAAGACCCGGCCTTCAGAGGGGAAGCAAAACCAAACATAAGACAGAAAGCTGGGAACCTGTTGTGGGTTCTGGGAGACACGGGTGAGAGGGGCAGCTGCTCCAAACCAAGTCACCTTTATTAATAAACTCATGTGTGTGAGAGCACACACTTCATGCCTGGGGCACCACCCCATAGAGCTGGTGGGGAAGTAACTTCTGCTTCTCGTTGCAACTGTAGATCCAGCGGGGACGGACGAACACCAAGGAGGGGTTGTCCATCAAGGCCTGCAGGGTGGGGTGGGGTGCATGCAGGAACGTGTGAGCCAGGAGGGGGTCAGGGGGATGCTAGGGCAGGTTTGGTCTCCCTCTCCCTGCCCCTTCAGGACTTACCTCCTCAAAGCTGGGGTCCCACTCCTGTGCCGTGATCACAAACTGTACCCGGTCGCTCATATAGTCCTCAAGCTCCCTGGCAGGAGAAGAAAAGAGGCAGAGAATCGGTGTCCCCTCTCTTGACACCCTACTCCCCAACCATCCTCAGAGGCCATTCTCCATCCCCACCTATGTCCCCTATAGGCCGCCTGTGGGTCCCCCACTCTCCCACGTGCCACGCTCGCCACAGCCCCGAAACCGACGGCTCCCGCAGGCGCTAGTCCTTTCAGAAGAGGTGGAGCCTCGCTTTAGAAAAGAGGAACCCAAGGGGAAGCTAGGCATCCAGGGCTGCCCAGCAGAGTGAGCAGGTCTGGCATGGAACTCCACAGCCTGTGCCCAGCCTGGGGGTACAACTTTCTCCATCCTCCCGATGGCCCTTCTCCCCACGACCTACCACGCCTCCTCCCCTGCCTCCCCTGTCCCCGGAGACTGACCCGTTGAAGGCTGTGACATAACGGCTGAGCGTCCGCCGCTCGTCCCCCGGGAACTCTCCGTACAGAAAGAAGTGTTTGCCCTGGAAAAAGTCTGCAGGGGAGATGGCGGGAGAGCCAAGCGTGAGGCCCCTGGAGTCCCAGGGCACCAGCCAGGAGCCATAGAACACGCAGAGGCAGGACAGCAAGGCCGGCGCAGCCACCGGAGGGGGAAAGGGGTGTCCGTGTACAGCCTGGCACAGGAATAATTCATGACAAGCAGTGGTTCCCGGCCAGGCCCATCTGAGCATCTGGGGAGTTTTGCTTCGTTTTGTTGCAAGAATGATAAAAGACACAATTACTATTATTGCAACATGTTTCTTACACCAGGTCAATCACTTCATTAGCTTGGCCTGGCTTGGAAATTTCACATCCTACCACTTCCTCGCCATGGCTGTCCCACTCCTTTTTAATCAGCGCCTTCTCTGGCTCTGACCTTCAGGGTGGTTCTTCGTTCCAGTTTGACATGATTTGCCATCAAGTTGCCAATGCCATGTTTGGGGCTTTGGAGGATCAAAGTACTTTCCTGCCCAGCACCCATGAGGAACCGAGCAGAAACGGCTTCCTCCAGTGGCCACCGACCCTCACCTCTGCTCAGACCCTCTGACTGCCTGGCTCTCCCTTCCTTCTCTCTGTTTTTTTTGGCCTCACCGTGCAGTATGTGGGATCTTAGTTCCCTAACCAGGGATCGAACCCGCGCCCCCTGCAATGGGAGCACAGACTCCAGAGTCTTAACCACTGGGCCGCCAGGGCAGTTCCCCTCTCCTTTCATTCTTGACCTGGCCCTGACCCACGCCCCCCACAATCATGTCTGGGGTGACGAATAACAATGCTGGCATCATGTAGGTCCCAACAGAGATCAGCGCCCACAGCACCTGTGTTCCCCAGGCCCCACCACACACTGACAAAGCTGAACCCGGGGGGTGGAGCCTGGGCACCTGCAGATTTTAAAAGCCCCTGGGTGATCCTGAAGCCTAGGGAGTGGGAGGCCCCCGGCGTGAGGGAGTGGAAAGCCAAAGGGGGTCTCGCCTGGGGCTGGACTGTGATGGAAGCGGTCACAGCAGAAGTCAGGACAGGGACAGAGAGGGAGGCCAGGAGAGGAGGCTGAAAGGAAGGGAACAGGCCTAAGAGGACAAGGAGGTGGCAAAGGCCAGGGACTCAGGATGAGGAGCCTGGAAGACAAGTCACAGGGGGCAGCAGCCAGCCCAGGGCCGGCTGGGGCAAGTCACGGCAGAGAAGTAACAGGGCTAAATCCCACATCAGGAGGGAGGATTTCCCACCTGGGAGCTCGGGAATCGGCAGATTGGGAGACTCCGGGGGACCTTCATTGTCCGTGTTCTCATCCGTGGATCCTGCGTACGGGTCCTTGCCATTCTCGCCAGAGGGCGGCCTTTGTTCCTTCTGCTCAGCCACCCTGAAGAGGCCAAGAGGGGTGGGGTAGGAGCATGCAGACCAGATGCCCCTCCCCGCAAGGCCAGGGCCACCCTGACCCCCAGCCCAAACCCTACCTTCTCAGCTCATCCTCGGTGTCCCCAGAATCTTCTGCCCCATTGTCCTGTCCTTCTGTGAATGGAAGCTTAGTCAATGCGAGGCCCATGCCTTCTCGTCTGGGAAGACCAGTAACCTTTCCTCCCAGACTCATGCCTGAGCACAGATGCAGGCATTCCAACCAGCAGGCTCAGTGGCCCTCCAAATCCAGTTAGGGGTTGTGGGGGGTGGGACAGCCACCCTCTACCCCAGATCCATTGCCTGGAATCCAGCCCCTCCCCCCTCAGACCCACAGTCTGGGCCCCCGGCCCCTCCTCCCTCAGACCCAGAGTCCAGGCCCCCAGCCCCTTCCCGCTCAGACCCAGGATCCAGGCCCCCGGTCCCTCCCCCCTCAGGCTCTGACCTGACTGCTCCCCCTTGGTGTCAGTATCTTCCTGGGGCCTTGGTGAGGGTAGTTTGGTCTCTTCTGGGGTTGGGGGTCTCTGGGGTGAGCTAGGTCCTGCTGCCTGAGATGGCTTGGCTTTGGTCTGGGGGCGCTGAGGAGGGAGGGTGGGTCAGCAAGGACGGAAGGGGCAGCACGGGTGTGAGCGTGGGGGGCGCCTGCAGGAGGCAGGAGTGGAGAGTTTGGGTACCATGACACACCCATGTCCCCCCCCCACTCCAACCTCCCCCGCCTGGGCCGGGGGCATCAGACCTTTCGGGGAGGCTTGGGGGCTTCATCCCCACTGCTGCCGCCATGACAGCCCCCCTCGTCCTCGCTGCTCGAGTCTGGCCCAGCCATGAGGTACCTGGGGGAGGAATCAGGCCTCAGACAAACAGCAGATGTGTCTTCCGGGGCAGGTGGGGAGGGGGCTTAGGAAGCAACAGGCACTGGCTACTTATTCAGTATTTACTAAATACTCAGGGTGGCAATCGTGGCCCCTCTCCTAGCCCGTCCTCCTCCCAGCTCCGGAAGAGCCCCAGAGACCCCCAGCCACCCATACCGGAGACCAGAGCACTTCCTGGCTTCCCTTCCCTCTTCGGGAAGAAATGACTCATTTCAGAAAAGGAACAACAAAAAAAATCAGAAATAACTCTCCCCTTTGACTATCAAAGTCAGTTTCTCATTAGGCGCTGAGTGCCCCTGCAGCTCCTCTGGGCAGACACCAGGCTGACCCCAACCCTGGCTCCTCCGCCCAGGCACGCTCTCTGCCTCTGTTCAGCCTGGCAAACCTGTTCTCTTCCTTGAAGACCCCTAGCTCACAGCGGTCCTCCCCTTGGGCCTGCCTCCAAACTGCTTTAGTGCTAAGTCCGGCCCCTCATCAAAGTCAGAGGCCTTCGAGGGCAGGACCCGACGTCCGGGGCCAGCATTGCACAGCCCAGCCTGGCGCCAAGCAGGGGCTTCGGGTGAAGGAATGTGAACGGGCGCTCTCTGCCCTGAGGCTTTGGGAATGCTGTGTCTCCAGCCGTAGTGTCCTTTTCCTTCGCTAAGCAGACTTCCCAGAGCCCTGCACGGACCGCCCCCCCTGCCCGCCCCCTGTGTCTCCCCGCCCTGCCCCTCCTCCTCTGGGAAGTCTGCTGACTCTGGGCCAGAAGGGACTGGGCTGATTTCTCTCCAGATCCCTGACACTGCCCAGCATGGGGACAAGGGGCAGGGTCGGGGTGTGTGTGTGTAAACTACATGCGTGCAGTGAGGCCTCACCTCCGAGAGGGCAGCCGCCGCCGCATGCGGTGACAGTCCAGCACCCGCTCTTTCCGCACGATTCGGCCTCCGAGGCCTAGGACCTGGCTGTACTTGGGGGTGTTGGCAAAGGCGCAGCTGGCAGGGAGCAGAATGGAGGGTGTCAGCCCGGTGTGATCTGAGAGGTGAAGGGCAAAGAGAGACAAGGGGCACAGAGAGAGAGACAGGGAGAGACACGGGGCAGATGTGGGAGAAGCAGAAAAGACACAGGGAGGCCGAGGGGAAGACTTTAAGAGTCAGAGGGAAGAAGAGAAAGAGAACAAGAGGCAGAGGATACAGAGAGGCGAAGCAACAGAGAGAAGGCAACACGGAAGAGACGAAGGGAGGCAGAGGAGAGGCAGCGGGGAGCGTGGGGAGGGGGCGCAGGCCTACATGAGGTGGGTGCTGTCTGGAGTCCAGTCTGGCCGATACTTGGCCCCCAGCTCCAGGGCCTTGTCCCGGAGCTCCGAGCGGAAGGGGTTCTGGAAGCCGCTCAGCACCACCACCACACCCTGGAGGATCTTCCCCAGCTCCTGCGGGCCTGTGCGGGGGGCCCTGGGCTCAGCGCCTTCTCCTCGGAGCTTCCCTGGCGCCGCCCCCCTTGCTGCGGCAGGGACAGGGGCAGTGGCCGGGGTAGGGGTGGGAGCTGGCACTGGGGGGGGCCAAGGAGTGGATTCAGTCAGTAGGTGTAGGGCTACACTCCAAGCCCTTCCCCCCTCAGACCCAGGATCCAGGCCCCCGGCCCCTCCTCCCCCAGACCCAGGATCCAGGCCCCCGGCCCCTCCCCGCTCAGACCCAGGATCCAGGCCCCCGGCCCCTCCCCCCTCAGACCCAGTATCCAGGCCCCTGTGGGAACAAGGAATCCAGTTTGCTCACATTTGGGTCTCTTGAGGGCGGGTGGTGAGGGCTGGGTGGACGGTTTGCTGGGGGTCTTCTTTTCTTCGTGGCTCAAATCCAGCTTCCTCTTGCCTCTGGGGGACTCCTGAGGATGAGGGGGTGGGATGGGCCAAGGCCTCCAGCTCACCTCCTCCCTTTCCACCCCACCAGGGTCCGATGATCTCACCTTGGAGGTGCTACCTACTGTCTTGGAGGCCGGAGAGGCAGAGGAGGCTGCACTGGAGGCCTGCAGTGTAGCAGCTGCATAGCTGGGTCCTGCTGGGTCACTGGCTGCGACTGCAGAGGGAGAAAGTGGAGCCAGGTTGAGAGGGCTGGACCCTCAGACCCTTCGGCTCCTATCCATGGGACACAGAGTGTTGTTCCCAAGACCCCAGAGTGACCCAGGAGTCCAGGCCCCCAGCCTTTACTCATTCAGGACCCAGGTTTCCCGCACTCACCTGGGGGGGTCTTGTTGATCCGGCTGAAGAGAGCCCCGGGTCTCAGGGAGCTGGCGCTCTCATCCTCCTCCTTCACGCGGAACTGGCCGAGCTTGGTCACTTTCTAAGGTCCCACAAGGTCAGCGCAGTGGGAGGGCTATCGGGGGGGGGGG